AATAACCCCTGATCAGTGACAAAAGCCGTCTTCTCCTGATATTTCTTCCAGAGAGGTATTTGATGGAAGCCGGAATAAGCATCCATAAATCTCATTAACGCATGGCCGGCTGTTGAGTCGACTAGGCTGTCAATCTTTGGAAGCGGGTAGCTATCTTTTGGGCATGCTTTGTTCAGATCTGTGTAATCCACACACATCCGCCAAGTACCGTTCGGCTTCTTTACTAGAACGACATTTGCCACCCAATCCGGGTAGTAGCATTGCCTAATGAATCCAGCATCCAACAACTTTTTGACCTCAGCCGCTGCCGCTTGAGATCTTTCTCCACCATGATCCCTCTTTTTCTGCCTAACCGGCTGCTTTTTGGGATCTACGGCTAGCTTGTGGACAGCAAGATCCGGGCTGACGCCTGGCATCTCTTCCACTTCAAAGGCAAAGATTTCTTTGAATTCCTTCAGCAGCTGGAGCAAACCTTCTCCCAACCGTTCGAAGGCTACCGTCCCGACCTTGACTGTTCTTTCAGGACGGCTGTCATCTAGGATGACATCAAGGCAGTCACCAGCCGGCTGAGGTCGTTGGTCATCTGACCTTTTCCCGGCTAGTGATTGCTATTTCTCCTTTTTGACGGGTGCCAGTTGGTCCGCCTTTCTTTTCATACCGGCTGCCCTTGGAGCCGGGACTGCTGGGTCGCAGTTATCAACATCTATGGGCTCGCCCTGGCCGGCTGCACCCATAGTTGTCTTGACGTCAGAGAGATAGCACTCTCTTGCCGTCTTCTAGTCCCCGCTTAGGGCACCGACTGTACCATCATCCTTTTGAAATTTGACCAACATGAGGGACGGGATGATGACAGCCTTAGATGCGTTGAGGGTAGGACGGCCAAATATCATGTTGTAGGCGGACAGCTCCTCCACAACTAAAAACTTGACTATCATGTGGCCTCCTTGCCCCTTTTCACCCAGCCGGATCGGAAGATCTATGCTTCCGACCGGATGCACTACTCCACCCCCAAAACCGACTAGTGGGTGAGGAGCCTGGTGCATGTTACCGGATGTGTACTTGAGCTTGGTCAAGCACTGATAACTGATTAGGTCAGACGAGCTCCCGGTGTCTATTAGGATCCGGCCAACCTTCTGGTTGGCAACCTTGCATTCGATGACGATGGGGTCATCATGAGGCCGCCTGACCTTGCCCCGGTCCTTTTCAGAAATAAGGACCTCAGGGAAGATGTCTTTCGACGCCTGGCCCTCATCCCCTGAGTTGACTAGCTTCCTGATGTTGTCTTTGGTGCCCCGGATGGTGGGACCCCCTCCGGCAAAACCGCCTGCTATGGTGAAGATGGTCTCTTCATCCATCTCGGAGTTTACTGGGCCGGTTTTTGCCGCCTGCCCTTTCTTGGCCTGGGTATTACCCTTAGCCTTGGGTAGATAGGATTTTAGGGCCCCCTCATCTGCCAGACGGTCCAATAGCCGCCTGAGGCTATAGCAGCCATTGGTGTCGTGGCCAACATCCTCGTGGTATTGGCAATACTTGCTCTTGTCCCGTTTATTCACGGGGCTTTTCATTTCAGCCGGTTTGTCGAGAGACATCCGGTCTTTGATTTCCAGGAGGATGGTGGAGCAATCTTTTGTGAACTCGTATTTAGGGACATATGGTTCTGACTTCCGCCTGATCTTCTGGGCCGGCTGTCCTGATCGGTCAGCTGCCCACACCCCTTTTCTCTTTTCTTCCTTTCTTGCCGGCTGATGCTGTTGCCGGCTCTCTTTTTTGTCAGACTTTTTATAATCTGACGGCTGCTTGACAGCACAAAGCTCCGTCGCCTGTATATAGGCTTCAGCTTCAATTAACGCCTCTTGGAGGGTAGCAACCCTCTTCCGGACGAGGTCAAACTTAAAGGTCGACCCATCCTTCAGACCTCGAAAGAAGTCTGTATAGGCCACTTCGTCTGATAGTCCTGGAATCTGAATTCTCATCAGATTGAACCGTCTGACGTACGACCGGAGGCCCTCCCGGTCGCCCTGCTGTATTGCCCCTAGGTCGAGGCTAGTCTTTTTGGCAGGAATATTCATTGAGAAATTTGACGTAAACAAGTACGCCAAAGTTCGAAAGCTGTTGATGCAACCGGCTGGTAGGTTACCAAACCACCGCTGGGCTATGCCCTTGAGGGTAGCCGGGAAGCATCGACACCAGACGGCATCATCTAACCCCTGGAGGTACATGAGGTTAGAGTAGGCCATTAGATGGTCTTCTGGGTTGGTGGTGCCATCATAGGCCCCCACCAAAACATTCTTGATCTTAGGCGGCTGTGCCGCCTGGGTTATCTCTGGTGAGAACGCCGTTGGCTGTTCCCCCAAATTTAGCAAGCGCAGCTTCCAGTCCGTGGGTTGGAACGGCTGCTGCGCTTGCCCACCGAAAAGACCCGGTGACATGAAAGGGGATCCACCCAACCCATTCGGTGTGCCGAATAGGCCAGGCTGGATCACTTTGGGTCCAGACCGGGCAGAAGCTTCGCCCGTCTGGCTCCTAAGGTTCGTTCCCGTACGCCTGTGTGAGACGTCATGGAAACTGTCCGGGAAGGTCGACGTTGAGGCCGACGCAGACGCCTGACCTCGCTTCTCTTGGAGAAATGTGCGGGCGTCTGAGAATGTTTTCTTGGAGCCATCCGGCTGTACGTGCCGGATGGCCTTTCGCAGCTCCCCTTGAGGAAAACGGAGTCTGCTTGGATCAAACCTTAAGCCCTCCCCCTCCTTTGGCTTAGGATGAGGGGTAGGAACTCGTTCTTTGACCGCCTTCTTTCCAGAAGGCTTCTTGGCCGGCTGACCCTTCTTTGGAGTAGCTGACCGGATGAGGCTCTTGATCTCACCCTTGAAACTATTCATGAAAGACATGAGTTCGTTTCTTGTAACGGGGGCTGAGCCCTCCACCGTTTGGGCAATTCCAGCCGGTTGCCCGGCTGGGTTGTTGGGAGCAGCTTGGCTGATTTCCCGTTCTCTTCTATCTTTAGCACGAGGGTGCTTCGTTCTGAAAAACCCATCCGGGGCCACATATGTTTCAATTTCGTCGCCACTTTCATGGTCCGTCTGGACCTCAGGCTCGACCACAGGCCGTTTGCCCTGATTCGGTGACACAGTATCAGAAGTCATCTTAGAAGTACTCTCCCCACAGACGGCGCCAAATGTTTCGGGGTTTTTTGATGTGTCCTGCGGGAGAGTTACAATTCCAAGAATGCCCTTCGACGCCTGTGCCTGCAAAATCACGAAGACTCCTGGGGGTAGGAGCTCCGCCTCCGACGATCAAGTTAGTAAAGATACGGGAGGTAGAATGCATGTAATGTGGAAGTTACTTCTCGCGTAATGGGAGAATTCTGCAATTAATATTGCTCGGGGTAAGTGTTTTTCTTTTTGAGGAGTATTCAATGTGAACAACAAATGTTCCAGCCCCCCATTAATGAGGGTCCTCCCACTATTTATAGTGGGGAAGGGATGGTTTCCCTTTTAGGGTTTAGAGGACACGTGTCAGCAGAGGATTGGAACACTGCTGACCAACGGCTGGATGCCACGTGTCACTAGGCCATTGGGCCACGTGTTTAGGGTATTTTTACCCCAAACAAGTTGTTTTGAGATGCAAGGAGTTTATAAGTTGAGAAATGAAGAAAATAGGCAAGTGAGAAGCCATTTCGGCTCAAAATGGCTTTATATTTTTAAAATTGCTCAAATTTTTTTTTTTTAAAAAATATGCAAGTTTCGCCGCCCCGGGACACCGAGGGAGCCGCCCCAGCTGCCGAAACAGCAAAGGCAGCCCGCGCCGAGGCCACAGCAGCCCCGAAAGCCGCATGCCAAGGCTGTAGCAGCCACGGCAGGTGGCTGCCATGTCTGCTGCTGCCTCGACAGGTGGCTTCCATGGCTGCAGCAGCCATGACAGCCGCCTGTCGAGGCTGCAGCAGCCCAGGTAGGCTGGTGTCGAGGCTGCAGCAAACATGGCAGCCACCTGCCGTGGCTGCTACAGCCTTGGCATGCAGCTTCCGGGGCTGCTGTGGCCTCGGCGCGGGCTGGCTTCGCTGTTCCGGCAGCGGGGGCGGCTCCCTCGGGTGTCCCGGGGCGGCGGAACTTGCATATTTTTTAAAAAAAAATTTGAGTAATTTTAAATCAACTTGGCAGACCTTGCATATTGTAAAAAAAAAAATATTTGGCGATTTTATTTTAAGAGTGCCTAACGGTTTAACACTTACAAAAATTGAGAACTAAATAATTTACCTCCTTATTAATCAACTTCACCCATGCACGTGGCCAATCAACGAAGCTACCTACAGCTTGCCAAAGCGTTGTTATCTCAACCTCTTCTATATCGGTACGGGTAGTGGGATGTCTTCGAACCCCGCAACCACTGAATCGATCTCAACCGAGTAATGATGTGGCCCCGCCGTAGCACCCGTCGTAGGTTGGACACTACCACCCAACTCACGCCGTACTATTTGCATGCCCCGGGGCTAGAAGTGCACACCGGGTGTCTTCCTACACAAGTATATATATAAAAAGAAGATAGTTAAATAGGAATTTTACAACAGCATAGATAATATAACAAAATTCATTAAGGTAGAGGGTTACAAATCACCTATAACTCTGGAAATTCATGCGGTGTTGGATTTTCAAGCTCCCTCGAGTCCGCATGTGTAGGAGTAGGAACCTGCAACAGTACATCAATCATTGCACCTCAAATCTCAATTAACTCAGTATTTTAAAACTTTTAATAACCCAATTGATTTTACCTCAAGTGGCACATCTTCACCACGTATCTCATCTCCTCCATGTCTATCACCTTCTCCTTGCCCTTTTGGTTCAGAACATGAGTCGACCGGGGTACTCGTGAGGAACGGAAAAGTCGGTAAGTTCATCAGCTTCGCCCAAGCATTCAATTCACCAACTAACTCGTTGCGTACTTGTTCCTTAATTGATGTCACCTTGGCATCCAACTCCCCTGGCGAGTTAACACTAGCTCGAGATCTACCCGATTTTGTGTATTCGGACCTTATTCCATCCAAGCAATGACCCTCCGGAACCTACTACTCGTCCTGGATGGTATGGCCGTCCCAAAGCCATGGTGAAAGGGTCATTCTCCACACTTGGTTCAAATTTTCCCTCCACCATCTCTTGAGTGTGCTCAAGCTATAGCATAAGGAAAAATGAGGTCAGTAAAACATTTAATGGTTTGTACAGTGATTTAGATGCAAAAGTGACTTAATTTCAACAATTCATAGGTAACTTACAAGCTTATCCGCCAGTTTTTTGGCTTCCGGACCCTTGATGACCCATTTTCCGGTTTCCTTATCAAACGTATGGAGAGAACAAAAGAAATCACCGGCACGACTCACCAATGTAGTGATCGTGGAACTAGAGGGTTCCTTTGATGCCACTAGAAGCGCTTTAGGGTATAAACCCGAATCGACCCACTCAGGTCTCTTTTCACCAAAAGTCTTAGGACCCATACGATGGACGTATTCCTTCTTTTCTGCATTCTTTTTATTTTGCTCTCGAAGTTCCTACAAAACTAAAAATGTTAGTCTCATTGCTACAAAAAGTGTCAAGCTATTATTCAATTGAGATCAGATTTGCACAAACTTACAATGGCTTTCTTTTGAGTCTTCATTGTAACGAACTCTTCCCAATCATCTTTTAACACAGTCGACCATATTTGCCACGGGAGACGGTCATCCTCATCAGAATTCTTCTTCTTTGATTTCTTCTTATTCTTGTAGATCCACCGATTAGTTAACTTGGTCTTAAAGCCTCTGAATCTTTCCGCTAATAAAGATTCAAACACCCTTCTCTTCTCGGGATCATTAGGAATAGAAAACAGCCTCTGCAAGCACAAATTAAAATCGATTATTAGTTTCTATTTAGTAACAATTATAAGGTTAAGGTTTCTTAAATTGTCTAAATGTGCCAAAAACACACTTACCCTTGTATCATCCCAAAATGTTTGAATCAAACCCGGAGGTACTTTCCGTATTACAAGTGTAATGGGGATTTTCCGCAAACAAATTCCAACTTGATTAGCATATTGTCGATGCCATTTGGGCCCGGGTTGGCCGTTGTTTTCATACTCCGAGACCATGGGACCGTGCGGTTTCTTAAAGCTTCTCGTTGGACCCCTTATTTTTCTTAGAGCCGGTGCCTTTCCCCCCCCCCCCCTCCACCACCTGTGTTGTTTTCATCTTGTCCTTGGCCTTGACTTTTAGGAGTCGGGTTCTCACCAACAATCTCACATGCTGTATTTACAATAGGCGGTGCACGTTCAGCTGAAATTTCAAAATCGTCAAGCCTACGCTCGAACTCATCTTGAGCCTGATCCTCTGGCTCACCCAAGTCATCCTCCTTATTCACATCATAAGGCACATCATCATGGTCCTCGTCCTCATACTCATCATCGTCAATGTCCGCTACACAATGAGGATCATGATCGTGCGCCATGAGATATAAAAACCTGTCAAAACAATCATAAAACAATATTAGTGTATAGTAAAGTATATGCATGATAGTTATAATGGTTAAGTAGAAGCTATTTCAGCCATTTTCACCTTCTTATTATGGTCTTATAACCTTGTATATGCATGATAATGAGTACAAAATTGCAATTTCAATCTACAAACATGTTAAATATAATGAATATAGGTTGTTAGAATGAATAAATGTTAGTTAATACACAAAACAACGGAGTTGGGTTAAGTAGAAGCTATTTAAGCCATTTTCACCTACTTATGGTCCTATAACCTTGTATATGCATGATAATGAGTACACTTAGGCAATTTCAAACTAAAAACATGTTAAATTTATTGAATATAGGTTGTTAGAATGAATAAATGTTAGTTCATACACAAAACAAAGGAGTTGGGTTAAGTAGAAGCTATTTAAGCCATTTTCACCTACTTATGGTCCTATAACCTTGTATATGCATGATAATGAGTACACTTAGGAAATTTCAAACTACAAACATGTTTAATATATTGAATATAGGTTTTTAGAATGAATAAAATTTAGTTCATACACAAAACAAAAGAATTGGGTTAAGTAGAAGCTATTTAAGCCATTTTCACCTACTTATGGTCCTATAACCTTGTATATGCATGATAATGAGTACACTTAGGCAATTTCAAACTAAAAATATGTCATTTTCGCCTACTTATGCTCCTATATACATGATAACTAAACTATGTTTGCAATGAAACCATTACTAACTTTTAATCAAACTACCTCATTATGAAATTCCTTCGTTGTGGTCTGATCGCATATAACCTGATTCGTTGTCTATGTCATTTAGTAGAACAGGTCTAGGAACAGTGAAAGGTGCTGAATCATCAAACGCATCATATTCTTCCTCATCCTCAACATCTCCAATGCCTAGGATTCTTCTTTTGCCAGCTAGCACTATAGACCATTTTGAATCCATTGGGTCAGTTACGTAGAACACTTGCTTAGCTTGAGATGCAAGGATAAATGGTTCCGCACTATCATTCAAGTGGCCAAGATATACAAGAGTAAATCCTCATATTTGACGTTATGCCTGATATTATCAATCCACTTACACTTGAAAAGAACAACCGTGAAGTCACAATAATCAAGCTCCCATATTTCTTGAATTCGACCATAGTATGACAACTTTGCATCGACAGGTGATTTATCCTTAGAACTTGCAAACTCCCTTAACAATGCCACAAGAGTTACACCACTGTTTTGGGTGGAGGAAGATTTCAAATCAGGACCCTCGGTCCAAAAAGTGTACCCATTGATGTCATATCCCTCAAATGAAGGGGCAATCATCCCTAGGACCGTACGCAAGCCACCGTACTGTATCGGTCACATTAGTATCACTCGATCCACTCATTACTCGATCACGAAACCAATTAACAAACCTCTTATTATGCAACTGCATAAGTGCCCTTTCACCTTTGGATGGAAATTCGTCACGCAAACTAGCCATGTGCTCGTCTAAATATGGGTGCACATCTGAAACATGGTGCAACACATAAAGGTGTTCTTGTAAGAACTGATCTCGATCTGGTGACATTCGTTTCGACCCAATTGTGCCATGACCATCAAGTCTACCTTCAAGTCAAGAAGTAGGAAGACCAATAGGTTGAGCAAGGGCTACGTAGTCCGCCACAAAGTTACCTATCTCCTTACCCACGGTCCCTTGCATCATACTTCCTTCAGGGTGAGCCCGGTTCCGTACTTTATCTTGTAATGTACCCATATGTCTTTCAAAAGGGTAGCACCACCTCATGAACACTGGACCGCACAACTTAATCTCATGCACCAAATGAAGAACCAGATGAACCATTATGTCAAAAAATGAGGTTGGGAAATACATCTCAAATTTGCACAAAGTCACAACCACATCTGCTTGCAAAGCATCTAGTGTACAAGGATCAAGAACTTTGCTACAAATTGTATTGAAAAACGAACAAAGGCTTGTAATCGCTTCCCTCACGTGTTTCGGTAGAATACTACGGATTGCAATCGGTAAGAATACATGCATCATAATGAGACAATCATGGGATTTCATACTTGTCAGCTTCAATTCTCCATTTAAGGTTACAAATCTTTTCATGTTAGATGAGTACCCTGATGGAACCTTAATGCTGTACATACATGCACAAAACATACGTTTCTCTACCCTTGACAATGTATAGCAAGCCGGGGGTAAATAATTCTTTTCATCCTTCCCTTTACCCTTAACTTTCTTCTTTGACGCATCTTTGGCCTTTCCCTTTCCCTTGCTCTTCTCCTTCCCTTTTTTCGAAACATTTTCATCTTCTATTCTCGGCTCCTTCCCCTTTCTAACCTTTTCTTGAGGCCACAATTCTAGACGAATCCCCATCTCTTTCAAATCTAACCGTGCACCCTTTCCGTCCTTTGTTTTGCCTGGGATATTCATAAGCGTCCCCCAAAAGAGCATCACACACATTCTTTTCTATATGCATCACATCAAGACAATGCCTAACGTCATGTTCTCTCCAGTACGGAAGCTTCCAAAAGATTAATTCTTTCTTAAACAGAGCAGCTGAGACCACAGTTTTTTTTCTGATTTTCCAAAAACCGTTCGTATCCCTTTCACCCGAGCACTAATCTTAGCACCAGTCAATGGTCTAGGCGCAATATCCTCTTCCACGGTTCCATCGAAAGCCTTTTTCTGCCTACGGTACGGGTGATCATGCCTAAGGAACCTTCGAGTCCGTAGGTAGACATATTTGTGAGAATAAGTCAGGTATACGCTTGATGTGTCATCAATACATATGGGGCATGCTTTTTTCCCTTTGACCTTATACCCACACAAGTTTCCATATGCAGGGAAGTCATTCATAGTCCACATAAGGGCTGCACACAATGTGAACATCTCGTTCTGATGAGCATCGAAAACGGAAACCCCTTCGTCCCACATCTTTCTCAAGTCGTCAATAAGCGGTGCAAGGTAAACATCTATGTCGTTTCCAGGTTGCTTAGGACCAATTATTAGCAATGAAAGCACTACATACTTACGTTTCATGCACAGACAAGGAGGCAAATTATAAATCACTAAAAGTACCGGCCATGTGCTGTGTTGGGTACTAAGAGTGCCATATGGATTCATCCCGTCCGTGCACAACCCAAGCCTTAAATTTCTGACTTCATTACCAAATTCCTCAAACTTCAAATCAATGTTTTTCCACTGTGGAGAGTCAGCTGGAAGCTTCAGCATTCTGTTTTTCTTTCTTCCCTCTGCATGCCACCTCAAGTTTTTAGCGCCTGTTGGTATTGAGAACAGACGCTTAAACCTTGGAATAATAGGAAGATACCTCAACACCTTAGCAGGAGGTCCTTCCGTACCAGGATTGCAACTCATGCGCTTGTAGCGCGACCGCTTGCATCATGGACACTCCTGCAATTGTTCATACACATTTCGATACAAAATACAACCATTAGGACATGAATGTATCTTCTTATACTCCAAAACAAAGGGATACATGAGCTTCTTTGCGTAATAGTAAGACTTAGGAATTTCATTCCCATCAGGCAACATATCACTTAATGCGGTCAACAAAGAAGTAAAACTAATGTCCGTCCATCCATGCTTCGACTTAATGTTGAAAAGTGTTAGCACGACCGATATTTTGGAGTATTTTTTGCACCCGGGATACAAAGGCTTTTTGGAAGCCTCCGATAATAACTCAAACACTCCACCTTCAACACCATGCAACATCTCATCCACTTGTTCATCCTCGACCTCATCCGCCTAATCATCATCGGCTCCATCCTCACCATTATCAACAATATAGTCATCATTCTCGTATTCCTCGTCCACATGAATATCATTGGTTCTAACACGCACATCATTCCGATCAAGATCCCCACTGTACTCTCCACTTTCTCCGTGCCAAATCCACACATGGTATAATTTCCTAAACCGACGACATAATACATGATCTCTAATTATTTCAACACTATCGACCACATTCACATTATTACAATCAACACAAGGACAATAAAGGCCTTTGTCACCCTGTTTACGTTGATAAACTAATGCCCTCTCGCAAAAATCTTGAACCCCATTCCAAAATTCCAATGTATCGCGTCTACCATACATCCAACCACGATCCTTCTCCATTTAGTAAATTGTCTCTAAACATATATAGCAACATATAATGAATGATGTGTAATTGCTACATATTTTATGTAAATCAAATTCAAGTACAAAACGTGAATATACCATTCATATAGTGAAAAAATGCATGTTTTCAAAGGGTCCTTATCACTCCAACCTAACCCATCCTTGAATGTCTACTCTCACTAGTGAATGTATGTCAACTTTCCAATTTTAAGGAAAATCCGACAGCATTTCCCCCTTAGTTCTCCAAGTACACGATGTAGATAATTAATTAATCACATATGTACCCAGAGAACATAGTGAGGAAATGGTAAGCCAAGATGTTCCTTAAAATCGAAAAAAAACATACTTTCACCACCTAAGTGAGAGTACACATTCAAGAACAGTCCCAACCGGAGACTATTCAAGACTTTCTCCTAATGAGAAAGCCTTGAACGGGTATCTAGGCATATGATGATGCAAGTATTCTATATATTGCTGTATTTATTTGCAATTAAACAATACACAAGTTGCAATTTCATGAATAAACTTCTATTAAATGGATAAATAGAAATAAATATAGCTAAGTAAAGTTTATAAGTCATACCAATATAGCAACTACCCACTTGAGCTTAATATGTAGTCCTCAAGCTAATTAAACTCGTGCTTCAATTTACATATTAATCTATATATTAAAAAAACAAAAATTAGCAACGTCACTAATTCTATAATTAATATATTCACAATTCTCTAATGTATTCACAATTCTCTAATTTATTCACAACTAATTAAGTGGCAATATCACTATTTATTTCTCTAATTTATGCATAATTTTTTAATTTAATCACAA